CTCTATTGGGTTGAGCTCGCAGTGATAAGGGGGAAGACGTAATACTACTCTATTATGTGCTTTAGCAATTTCGTCGACAATGTATTTATTATATTTGGTTTTATGTTCCTTCACTTTCTGCAAAAGTTGTACTTTTATCATGCTATCCTCGAATGGTATACTTTTCGAACGCAACCAGTCTTGAATTAGGGCTTTTTTTGTGGCTGTAGTTGGAATTTGTTCAGCTTTTCTTGAATGGTATGGGGCGTTGTCTAAAACAATTACACAATTTTCTTCTAGGTTTGGAATTATGTTGGTAAACCAATTTTCAAACGATTTGCCGTCCATTTCCTCATGATAGTCGCCCGTTTTCTTCGACTCAAAGGCCCACAAGGCGTCGGGTACAAACCCGGTTTCGCTTCCTATGTGACACACTATCAACCTTTTTCCTTTTCCTGAAACAAGATTTATTTTGTTTTAGTTGAAACAGAATATTTACATGCATAAAACATATTTTTTGGACTATTTCCTGAATAAAATGTGCTGCGAGGCAGACAAAAATTTTTTTTGACTTAATCGTGTCCAACCAAACACAAATAATCGAAAACCAGTTACCAAAGACATACTTAAAATTTCATACTATACCAACACATTTTCGTTGTTACCTGAATTTTAACTAATTGATCGAACGGTAAGATGAAACCCTTCCAATTCTCTACGATTTTAATGAATACAGAAAATAATTAATAATAAACTTTCTTGGAAAATACACAGGTAGATACATACTGTGGGTCTATTTTTCATAGCTAACAAGTAATTTTAGACCCTTTTTGACCATCGCTTACTAATAGGTATTGGTACCTACAAATCGAGGTTTAGGCCATAAAGGTATTGTAAACCAAGTAGAATACAATTACTTTATGGCCCTAATCCTCGATTTTTGCTATCAACAGCAATGAAATAGACTATACCAAATTTTAAATCAATACCTAATCCAAATGCAAATTATCTTGTTCACAGACACACACGTTAAGGTTAAGAGTTTAATAAGGTCTTACCTGATGGGTTCTTTAACCCAGTTGAGAGGCCATCTAAGAAGGCTTGCCTTGAAGAACCTACGGATTCATCAACCCAAATTTTAGACTTAGTGTGGCCTGCGTTCACCCACGCTTCATCCAGGTAGTAAATTTTCCTATTTTCTCTTCTATAGGCCCGTATTTTCGTTAAATAATCTCGTCTCCACAATACAATTTCTGGTTTCTCGAGCAACAAACTATTTCTCCCTCTTTTTTTAAATTTAAAACTTAATTCTTTCAACAACTTGTGGAATGTCGACCTTTTGAAATCTGGTAGATCAGGATCATCATTTACATCTTTGAGAATTGAATCTATTGTTGGCATTTGGTTCCGGAAAAAAAATTGATGTACTTTCCTTCTGATAGCGTTTTTATCAAAATCGTCTACCTTGTCAATAATTTTCTTTCGTAAGGGGTATGGCTTTGAATCCGAAAATAATTGCTTTTGTTTAGATTCTCTCATAACGGCATAAACACCACTTGGAGACACTCCAGCAATGTTTCCTACTTTTCGCACGATTTCATCAACTAACAATTCGGGATTTGCTTCGACTTCATTTTTGTAAATGTTCATAATTAAATTTTTTTCATTACTATTGAAAGGCACTTTTTTTGGTCTCTTTTGAGGTGGAGTGTTGAAACACATATTAGCAGCTTCTTCATCCGACATTTTAATAATTTAAAACTTTAAAACTATTAAAAAAAAATCACTACTAAATATCCGGTAAAATGTAACACCACCGATCGTTAAAACGTAAATGACCATTCCGACCCTGTAACGATTAGGCCAAAAGCAATAAGTTCCCCTACCTTGGAAGTCCCCTACAGATTGCAGGTAAATCCGATTGGCCAGCGTGAGGGGTTTGTTTATTTTAGCCCAATAGATGCAAAGCCACGTGCCGATCATGCTTCGATCACGCACGGAAAGTGTTTTGGCCCGCTTTTTTGGTTCCATGGATATAGTTTAGGCCACTATTTCTTACCTGAACTTCCGAAGCAAAATTGAACCAATGACTTATCCAGTAAAGAACCATCAAATAAACCTTCATTTTTAAGACGCTGAAACATATTCAGCCAAAACTGTGCATGATGTTTACGAAGAATACACCACCAATATTCGATTCTTTGATTGTGTGTGCTTCTGCCATACAGATATGGGGGTCTTGATGTCGCTGCTGCTTCTGTTACGAATAATTCTCTTAAAGGGCACTGCATTTGTTCGATTGTCTTATTTTCTGTACCCATATCGGAGCGTATCGTTTTTGGGCATCCACCAACGGCACCAACTAGCTTTATCGCATTAGCAAAATATCCAGCAATTACCTAAAAATGTAAAAATATTCCACCACAACAAATATCTGAGCGTGCAATAGTTTCTAAGGGATGGATAACCAAAGATTTAACTTTAATGTTTTGGAAATAGTTTAATTAAAGAATAGGTGAAATTTTAGAACGTAAAATATCTATCTATCTATCTATCACCCAATATATTTTTACTTATTTTGATACAAAATGACATTCTGCGTTCAATGACACCAACATCTCATTTGTCACTTTTCGACAGCTAACCTCAGAATAATTTAAATTTCCAATATCCAATCTAGAGGGCTATAAATTTGTTGAAACGGCTAATTTTTGGTCATATACCCGAGGAAAAATGGATTAGATCGTTCTTTCTTTCTAAAGGTACGTTTCCTATGAAGCGGCGGACGCACGCGGCTGAGTCTGACGCAAGCCTAGTCACGCAGTCCGTCAGCCGCTTCATAGGAAACGTACCTTAAAACTGTGTACAGATACATTTGAAATTTTGAAAATCGTATTATTGGCCTAAACCCATCTTTTTCAAATGGAACTAGGGTGGCTCATTAGAATAGCTGGAAAGAGTAATTTATTAAGAATAATTTGATACCACACAACCGCTATTTTAATTGATATTTATTTCAAAAAATACCCAAATTAGGTGTCATTGAACGCAGAATGTCATTTTGTATCAAAATAAATAAAAATATACCGGACATCCAATTTAAAATAAGGAAGTTTGATGGGTGCATGGTTTCCGGTTTCGGGTCAAACCGGAAGTTAATTGAGTATGTCAAATAATGCATATTTATGTGAAATACCTATTGTCTGGCTAGCGAAACGGCGAACTCCAAAAGAATTTACTGCTTTGCCAAACTTGACGTAAATTAGAAACAAAATAATAAACAAGTTGGTGGCATATTTTTATTTTTGCTATATGGGCATGTGTAGTATTTTGAAATAGAAAAAAATCAGGCAACATTGCGAAATGATGGAAGTGGAGAAGCGTGATTATTCAGAAACATGATCCTATTGGTTAGAGCTTGAACGACAGCACGCAGTGGCGTGGTTATTGGCGAAACTAGAGAATCTTTTTCTAATAATTTTATTGGTTTATTTCCTTGGTGTTTTCGGTGCCACTGAACTCAAAGACATGGCTGTCATCAGACGGTGTCAGTTGAGGTATCAGTGAATATTTTTGGGTAACGCCCCAGTTTTCTTCCCCCTTTCGTCTCTACCAAGTTACCACTCGCCAGACTATATGCACCGAATTTCATTTGATATTAAAAATCAAAAATTTTATAGTGGCGAGCCACTTTCTTCGGACACCCGGTATACATCGATTCTGATTATTATTATTAAGCTCTTGCACTTCGTCCGAACAAAATGCTGTTTCGTGTTCACAAAAGCGTTTTTATGTTTTTCTGAACTGAATTTCTTATGTAGCGAAACGGCATTTTGTTGACCATAAAATTCTACAACTTTGCTCTAATTTAGCCGATCTCGTACTTCTCACCGTTTCGGAGATCCCAATGATTAACCAAGAAAAAAGGAAACCCTATGTATACACACCTTTGGATCACTGGAAGTTGGTCCAACTTTTAACCATATTATATGTCTAGAAAATCCATCAATACATAATCCATATGGCTTTAATTTATCATAGGAATCTAGATGCCAAAAAAAATTTGGGCCATTGCTAGTATTGCCTGCGTCGTAATCGCTTTCTACTTCGAAGGACAACTCCTTCCGGATCCAAAACCTGTAGTAACTCTCTAACTACCTCCTGTGTTACAGTTAAGTTATGCTGAATACACCTGAGGTGCATCCACTTATATCCATGTAATTGCCCAAATTTTTGTATTTCCCTTTCAAGAAATCGCACAACGTCTTCAATTGGGGAGAAATTTTTTTTTCGGAAAAGACGCAAATTAGACAATTTACGTTTAAGAGTTCGTAAGGGCATTCTTATATTATGAATATGTTTTAGAAATGCCACAATTTCTTTATGTTGAAATCCAAGCGAAAAGTACTTTTCAATGAGGGTGTTAACTTCTACCTAAAATGAAATAAAGACAAATAGAAAAAGGTAACACGTGTTATTACTCTAAAAACTACTTACAGGCAGTTCCACTACCTAATACCCCAACTAAAGACCAAAAGGTGAAAATTTATAATCGGATTTTAAATTGCACAATTTTTTGAACTTCACGTTTGACTGAACCCTACTCCTGAACATGCATTTAATGGAGAGGTATCTATGTCTTCGGAGTCACCCATAGCAAATTGTAGAGAACGTACTGCAACACTAAAACTACGAAAAACGAATGGAGAAGTTATTTCTAATTTCTTCCAAAACGCAGACTAAACACAGTGCGACTGAAGTAAATCGAAAGATGACTGTTTATACGCAACTAATATTCCGACTTATAAGTCGGAATTCAGACTTATATGTCAGAATTCCGACTTATAAGTCGGAATTTAATACGGGAAAAAAAAAATCACAAAGTGGCCCTTCTACGCTTTCGTATGATGGCAAATTTCATTATTAAAAAATTAAAAATGAATAATTTGTATCAAATACTGTATATTTTTAAATTTTTATTGATATTATTTATCAGCTAATAAACTTTTTTTTGTTATTTATAGGAATTGGACTCGTTGAGCTATTAAAAAAAAATAAGGAAGGACCGGCAATATTTTTGTATAGTATTTTTTAAAGAACGGACTTAAATCAATTTACTAATATTAATCGAAGAAATTATATCATTGTCATTTGAGTATTATCAAAAAAAGAAAAATTAGCTAGTGAATTTTAAAAAACTTGCAGGATCAATATAGCAACCATAGCAATATATTGTAAGGATTTTGTGTTTTTTTTTTTCAATGAGTTGCATTGATTCTACAAGTTTAGTCTTGCTGTATTTTTACGAGTTTTAAGTCTGTTATTTTGTAGATTGAAGATTGGGGGGCTGACAACTTTTATTTTCAACATTTTGGCAGCCCTTTGTTGTTTTTGAACGATACCAAAAAAGTTATTTTTTGATTGTTACTTGAATATTTTTTCTTATTAGGCCCAGTTAATTTAGATGTTTTTCCCCAAATATTCTTAATTAGCTGAGCTATTGACAATGAATTCAGTTCATCAACTAACTATTAAGTTGTTTATAGCTATTATTTTTTTGTTCTTAGTTGGTGTATTGTTTTTTTTTAAATTATTGTATGTTTGAAGCACAAAGTTTAGATCGTTTTTGTCGAGTTTTTTTTTTATATATATTTTTCTGCTCACAATTTTTCTAGTCAATATTTGACAATAACTTATTTTTTATTTTGGAATACAAATATCTATTTTCGGGACCGTCTTTCTGTCATTTAGTTTATATTTTAAAAAAAATGCATGTAAAATAAGCTATAGCGGAAGGACTTGTATTGGAAATCAGAGGCCCAAGGAACTAAAATTGCATTTTACGTATGATTATGAAATGTTATATGTATTTAACCATCTATTGATTTAATTGAACAAGTTTGGAAAAATTTACGTGAGGTCTGTTCTCACAGAAATCACAAACCAGTCAAGCTTTATTTGATTGGTGCAAATGGCCAAAAACTAGTTTTCTGGCTATTTTCAACCAATGAAATTCACTCTGACTGAATTGTGATTTCTGTGAGAACAAACCCATGATGATTTAAAGATATAAAGACTTTTTTCTTCATATTGTACAGTAAATTTATTGTAATAGTTTTCATTCATTAGCTGTACTAGTCTGTTGGAAAATTCTATTTTTTAACTAAGTATATCATTATAATTAATGTAAAATAATATATAAAAAAAAATCAGAATGTGTGTGTGCTGTGTAATTATTATAAAATAGAAAAACTCTTGAGTAAAATTATTTAAATAAATTAATATGAGTTTTATTGCCTCGTAAAAAATCAAGTGTATTACAAAAATAAAAAACATTCAACTGCAAGAAAAAAATCTTAAGTGAGTTTCAATATTTGGTCGACTGTTTCGGCTAAAGCGGGCATGGAAAATCTATTTCCGAGCTCCAAAAACGTCTCTAGAAGTTTAATCAACTCTTTTCTGGAAACTAGACATCGGAAACCGGAGGCGCACTGGCAATGCTTTGTAAGATTCTCCATTTTAATCTAAAAAAAAAATGCAAGGAGTTAAAAAAACAAATCAAAAACAAAATTGTACCTGTCCACATTTTTTGCACTGTAAATCTTGTAAATTGTAAGCCAGAAATTTCTTGGTGATAGTCTCTAGTAAAAAAGTTTCTATTTCGGAACTGTTGTATGGCGCATTACAATTTGCGCAAGTCCAATGGTCTTCTGTTCTATGAAGATCCCTTCCTAAATCTATAAAAAAAAAAACATTTTTAGATTTTATTTAAAATCCAGAGAGAGGCAAGTTTGATGAAGTCCAAGAGCTATTTTAAACAACAAAACAAGCAATTTGCTCCTTGTCTTTGAAATGGATTCTTACCAATATCTCTACAATGATTACACTTTCGGCAAATAATCTGCGGAACGACATAAGAAACAGTTTCATCTTTCCAAATAGCCTTTTCGGAAAACTCTCCCACCCCAATCAGTCTCAGTAAATTACTCCTCAAATGATCAACAACCTCTTGCACTGCGGGATCCAAACCCAAGACATGACATAAAGATTTAACGAATCCCAGAGCTGCGCTGGTGCCATCTATGGCCGGCCTCAGCATGTGAACCTTTTGAGTCATCCTAAAATTTGCACTAACTTAAAACAAAATCCTATAAGCATTAAAAAAAAAAACATACTTGAACAATTCCTGGCTAATCTCTCCAGATATGAGCTCTTTGGCATATTCGACTACATCTTCGTGACTAGCCAAACCATAGGATGGTTGGCTCAATACAAGAGGCACTGCAGTAGTTTTTTTCTCTTTCAATTTTACATAAATTGAAGTGACGTAGCCGGCAATGATGGTTTCGAAATTGCGACGACACGATCCTTGTTCTGTCAATTGTTCAGCTATGTTCCAATGGGAACTGAGACTTGCCCCTAGTTCGTCATCCGGATCTGGATTGTCTTCTGGATTTTGAGGCCCTTTTCCTAATACCCCGCAATGATTTGCCGGATCCAACCATACTAGATATTCCCAACAACGTCTGGAAACAGACAAGAATTAGTCATCTCATTTAAAAAGCGATAAACACTCTAGCAAAGAATTAAGGAATTACTAACTAAACTTACTTGTAACTAATTTCAATTGAATGAAACAGTTCCTTGTTCCTTATGGCGTTAACGACAAATTCAACGCTGGCCAAACCGTCTTTGACGTTTTTCTTTTTGGTACAAATCACGATTTTGTTGAAGTTGGCATAAACAACTACGGATCCCAATCGTTTGAATTCGGCAACTAGTTGAAGGAAGAGTTTTTTCATTAAGTTTTGCAGGGTGCGCAAAAGGGCCGGCTCGTAGAGTAGCGTCCTGGATGACCGCAACCATCTGGAAAGGATAATGTCAAAAGTTCAGGCTAAAACTAAGTAGAAATGTATAACTTTTTTTGATCCCAATCTTACAACACTATAAATAGGTATATAAAAGAGTGATCACTAATCAAGTTTCCAATTTCTTACCTATAAAAATGCACCACTTGAAAATCAGCGTAGACGTTATTGTGCATTGAAATGTCTCTCATCCAAGTACTGGCCATGACTCGTAATATTTTAAAGGCTTCAGCGCACCGGGCCGATTCGTTGTAAACTATCGGCGTGTTACCGGACAGCATATCGTCCAGCGACGTGCCTTGATTGGTATCGAAACCGGTGGCGTTGCTGGTACCTTCGATATCGGTCACGTGGTGCGATTGCAACAGGGTGTTTATGGCCAGAGAGTCGATGTCAAGTTCGACGCAGACTGAAGAGTACCAGCCCGGTAAGTTGCAAACTTCGCTCGAACCTTCTTGGTTGTCGGCTAATAATCTGGAAATTGAAGACAATAATTTGTGTAAGAAGACTAACAATAAATTATCTATCAGAAACTAAGGGCTTTCGTCAATCTCAATGTTAGCCTAAAATAAGGACTTAGCTAAGGAACCCTTAACGTTAAGGTAAACTTAAAATCAGTTCCATTAGGTAAGTCTTAAGATCCAAGTTGAATTAAGGAAACTTTTATATAATGGTTAACCGTATATTGGGCATGATCTAACTTTTTTTTTGTACCTAAAGGTGATATTGAAATACCAGCTCTAACTTTACTATTTAATTAAATTAACTGAATAACGCAAAAGAATACTATAATTCGTTAGCTTTTGTTGATTTCAATGATATAAAGTTCGATAAGTTTATCTCTTTGGAGAAAAAAATTATACTGTTTTTGTCATAAGAAACAATGATGAGACACAATTTTCAATTTTCACACTCTGTTGTCTTCCTGATATGTGATCAATTACCCAACTTAAAAAGGCTCCATGAAACCCTATATTTTCCAGTTCAAACAGAGTCTGTGAAAAGTTTCAGACTGTGAAGTGGATTTCATGAAACTATGTTGTGTTGGAAAAAATTATGTTTTAAAATAGTTTATTAGTGCGGGAGCTTAGTTAGGATATTTCAAAATATTGTGCACTTTTTGATAAAGGCATCAAATTTGGCACAAAATGGCCGCCAATGGTCACTCCAAAAGACAACCGAAGTTAAATAAAGTTTGCAGCTGAAGGTTTTAGTGAATGTTTCATTGATTGTTTTGAATGAAAACATGCCTGGTATTTCATAAGTTATACAGGGCGGAGCAAGAAAAACTCCCCACCTAGGTTTTCTCAGGTGTTGGTGTTAAGTAATAAATCAAAAATCGCTCAAACAGGAGAATTTTTGTTTTTTGGGGGCACATTTTATTAGTATTTTCAGCTCCCTAAGCGGGGTTGACAGGGAGCCGCAAAATTTCAAATGAAAAGGGGGTTCGAGTGATACAATTTATTATTTCTTAACTTTAACAAGGCGTCATTTCTGCAGGGTAAACGGGGGTTGCCACTTAGAGCGATATCTCCCACAGGGTGAGTTAAAAAAAAATTACAAAGTAGTTTCATACTCTAAGGTACATTATATTAGTTAAAAATATTTTTGAATATACAGGGTGCTCCGTAAATGGGGTATGCTACAGAACTTTGTTATTTTAAATGGAACAGCGTATATTTTATTACATTAATAGATCGTTCTAAAAATCCTACATACTTTTTGTTAGGAGCTACCTATACTAAAACTCAATCGTTTTTGAAATATTTACCTAACATTTTTTCAAAAAATCGCAGTTTGCATGTGTCAACAAAAATCAACATATTTTATTCATTTGAGATCCTATAAGCTAAAACCTTCGCAGGCTGTTAGTGCATACTTACATTTACTTCATGGTCCTATGAAAATCTGATAACATAATACAGGGTGTTCGCAATGCTGTACACAAAATAAGACCGTTCCAACAACCATAGCTCATTTTTTTTAAATGGAATGCCCATTTTTTTTCTGTCTCATTTTTTTTTATCAAGCAATAAACTTCCTTTTTTATAAAGTGTGACCTATACTTGGCTGGGATAATAATTATCGATTTTCTAGAACTTTTTTCTTATGTCTTCCTTAAAATCCAGAATAGTCATATGTAGGTATATGTCAATTAAAAAAAATGTTGCCAGGGAAATAATAATTACATAAAAATCAACTGACAGGTGACTATTGTGAATTTTAAGGGAGAAAATGAAAAAAAGTTTAAGAAACCTGATAATTATCACAGTTAAGTAAGTATAGCTAAAATTTCATAAAATTGGAAGCTTATTGTTTGGTGAAAAAAGTAAAACAAGAAAATAAAGGGCATTCCATTTAAAAAAATGAGCTATGGCTGTTTGAAATGTCTGGTTTTGTGTACAGTATTGCGAACACCCTGTAGAGTGTTATCAGATTTTTATAGGACCATAAAGTAAATGTAAGATTCCTCTTTGATGTTTAGGATATTCCCAATACTTCCGAAATTTTGCAAAATTGTTTTTATTTTTTCTTGATTTCATTTAAAGTGATAGTTAAGAAAAAATGTCAACTCATCATAGCTACTTTTTTTCTACTAGCTTCAAATTAAAAAATCTGATGTTTCGTCTTTGGGCCACCAACATCAACTTAATTTTTTTTAAAACAGCCCCTTATTTTTTATTTTAGATTTAATAAGCTTCTGATGTTCCAAAAGCAATGATGTATTGCACTTATTTGAAAAATTTATATTATTGACACTTTCCATAAAAACTGAATGTGTTAGAGAGAGACAGAGAAGAGAGAATTTTGGTAGGAAATTACTAAAAAGTAAAAAAAAAATGTTTTTTCGAATAAATGCGATAAGTCATAACGTAAGTGTTGGGACATCAGAAGCTCTAAAAATCTGAAATAAAAAAATCCAAGATGGTATTTAAAAAATAAAGTTGATGATGGTGGCCCAAAGACATCAGATTTTAAATTTGATGGTAAATTTTTTTTATTCTGACTTAAAACACTGCACTATACGACGATATTTCAACAACACATCGCTCTCTTCTATTAATTTCATAGAAAATCTATGGTAAGTTTCTTTGTACAAAATAACTAGTATCTAGGGCGAGTCTAGATGGGAGCTACTGAGTTGGTAGATTAACCGTAATCTTCAAATTAATCCATCCTCTCAGTTCAGTCCAATGACATCATTCAGGGACTACTCAATTGTTTTGTTGTTTTATGGTGAATTAATAAAAAAATGTAATTTTGCAATATACAGGGTCACACTTTAAAAACTTACAATGGCTATAATATCTGAGAAATAAAAAAATATATATAAAAAATCGCTAAAAACAATTTACATCATTGGAAGGGGGAACCAAAATGATGTAATAACTAACCTGTTTTCACTTACCCCCTCACCCTCAGCCAGTGCAACCAGACAAAGAGGTAATAATACGAAAACTTCATTAGATAAAAAAAGACACTGAAGGCTCATTGCGCAAGACGAGGCAAAACATACCAAATTATGTTAGACTTATGTATAACAATCCGTTCTTCTTATTTGCACGGGATAAAAAGGGAAGGAGAAAGACCGCGTGTTGTGCAACGTATTTGACAATGAAAATTTCAAACAACTTTTGAATGTCACTTGTCAAGCTATGTCAAGTTGAATATCAACCGTACTTTTATTCTTGTTAGATCACGGGGAAAAAACAAAGACAAGAAGATGTCCAGCGTGCAAAACGAACATCTCACACCTGTACTAGTTAGCCAATAAAAAGGTATTGCCTCGTGTTGCGCGCGCATACCAGGTAAAAATAGATAGGTCTATTCTCTACTTATCTTGAAGCTCTTAAAAAATGCTTCTCCTACGAGCATGCGCAAAGTAGTAATTTACCGGAAGCGTTTCCGTGCGCAAAGTAAAATTTTTCCGCACACCGTGCGTATATGGTTTCTATTTCCAAAGTAACTAATAAACAAAGAATAATGCAGGCCTAAATGTTTCAGCCTCAAGGAAAATGCTACTATTATATGCATTATGTTATTATTAGTAATTATGCCAAACAAAAATGGGTGCGCAAAGTGAAAAAAATTAGAATTAAATAGTAAATGGATTTTTACGGAAATTACTATTCAATACTATAAAGATAAGGCTGATAGTCAGTCTATTTCTATGCCTTTCGGAGTCAATTTTGGCAAGCTTCCAGTTATAAACGCAACCCGAGAGCTCCGAGGCAAATACCGAAGCCCGCACGCACCTCAACTAAGTCTGCTATGACTTAAAATGCGATACTGCTAATACACGCATTGATCAGCAGCAGCTGCATTAAAGTTATTGTATTTTACTTAGAAATAACTTCAAAAAGCTCAAAAATAAGCTCCGTCAAGTTAACCCCCCCACATTTGAATTTTCTAACAAAATTGCAACCACTTTGAACTGTGCTGTTCTGATACCAAAGTTATAGGAAAAACAAGATGAGGGGCTAACTTGATGCTCAGCCGCCCCAAAATTTTGGAAATCCGATCAAAAAAAAATGAATTTTTATGCAATCGGAATAAGTGTACTGACCTGTGCGTGCTGTATTAGGTTTTTACCTCAAAATTTCCATATTCAGTCATTTTCCGACAAAATCCTATTGGGGGTGCTAACTTGATGCTCAGCTCTCCAAAATTTTGGAAATCATATGAAACTAAAATTGATTCTTATGCAATTTGAAGTGTGCTGAACTGTGTTGTATCAGGTTTTTCTCAAAATTTCTATGTTCGGTAATTTTTCGACAAAATCCTACTGGAGGGGCTAACTTGACGCTCAGCCTCCCAAAATTTTGGAAATAAGATGAAACAAAAATGGATTCTTATGCAATCTAAAGTGGGCTGAATTGTGCTGTATCAGGGTTTTCTCAAAATTTCCATATGGGGTCAGTTTCTGACAAAATCCTACTGGGGAGGTAACTTGACGCTCAGTCCTTCGCTAAGAAAATGCACGACCATGAAGATTTTCAAAAAAAAATGGCGTCGCTTCAATATCTTGGATCCCTGCCAAGGGGGGCGTTGGATAATTCCCATTTTCTAAAAGTGGGCGGTAGGTTAAAAAAATTTGGGAACCACTGAGTTAGACGAACGACGCGAAGCGGAGTTTGGATAAGCTTTAAGTATGGGAAAGCCTTGCGCAAGTGTTAGGAACAATACTTTTTCCATTAAATCATCATTATTCTCCAGCTTTGCAACTGGATATTTTTAGTCTAAATACTAGCCAGCAACTCCAATGCCATACTAAGAAGCTGGATAAGGAGAGATGCTCGAAGCTGATCAGAAAGAATTTTCTGACTAATAGGGTTGTCTATCAGGAAAGCACAGTCAGTGCTCCTTCAAAGAACGCATTCAAAAACAGACTTGACCGGGACCTGGAGAGAGCTAGACTGAATTTTGTGCATTATGTGACTGAACAGTGAAAACAAGGATATAACAATAACAATACAGCAATAGTCTCATCGGCGTTGCAGCTTACTGCTGCTCAAACCTATAATAATAATAATTATATGTCTGAAAATTATGTCTCAATTTTTCTTCTCAAAATGTGGCCCTACAATCCTCTCAAAGAACTAGTCACACTTAATTCCTCTATAGTTTCTGTTTCTACAAGTTTTTCGATCTTTTTTGTCTCATTTAAGACATACTTACTGTACTAGATGTATATGTAGGTTTGAGTCGTATTTATGTAACATTGAATTTAAGAATAAATATGGTGTTCCACAAGGCAAAGTGTTAGGTCCTTTATTGTTTTTGGTGTATATTAATGATATTGTGAATGTAATAAGTCATACTAAGATTGATTTATTTACAGACGAAACTATGGTTTACATAAATGGTAACCAAACCATTCAGATGAGATGCAGTTAACTGTAAATAATTACATAGAAAAGATATTTCATCGGTTGTGTACAAATGACTTATGTTTGAATACTGCTAAATTTAAGTTCTGTTTATTTGGGAAAAAGCAAAAATTGTTTAATGTCGACTTGAATCAAATAATGAATATGGTAATAACCCGAATGGTCGATGTGATTCGAGTACTACCAAAAAACATATCTTGACTATTTGAAGAATCAGCTTTCCATTTCTGATGTCAAATGCTTGGTATTGGACAAAAATGACGATGTGGTTTCATTTAAATTAGAGGTTAAAGAATCACTTTCGAAGGGCCTGCTAGATCCAAACCTCTGGCCCGTAGGCATTGCTGTCAAGGAGTTTCATCCTCGTCGTATGGGGGCAAAACCGTCCACAGCAAATTTTCAGAAGAGAGACAGAGAGGAACAGTTTCATTAGATTATGCTACCAAAATGTAAGAGGCTTGAAAACCAAACTCAAAGATGCCTTTTGTGCTACTTGCGCCAAGTCTTTCTCAGTGATTGCTCTTATAAAAACTTGGCTGGACTGTGATGCTGAATTTCTTCACTCGCCTTACACGGTTTATCGGTCTGATAGGAGCAATCTAAACAGTACTAAAATCCGTAAAGATGGGATCGTTCTGACAGTGAATAATTACTTCAAATTTCAGCGCTTGCCAACTGGTGGAGTATTGGTGGAGGAAAAGTGAGTATCAGCTTTTTCTGAAGCTTTGTTATTATTTTTCCTATGATTTTAAAAATGCCCGTTCCAATTTATTCAATGAGTATTTTCTTTCCTTTGATTGACGATCCATTATGACGGATCTAAACGAAACTGTTAATAACTTATACTCAGTACTGTATGACTGCTTTAATATGTTTATTTGTCACTCATTTGTAAAACATCATTTATCAAGTCAAAACATAAACAACGAAAATTGATTTTTACCAGTTACTGGCTCTACTGACTTGTAAAATTGACAGCTAAACTGTAAAAACTTTTTACCTACGAGCATGCGGTAAAGTGAACTTTACCGCACGTATTTGCAAATGGAAAGTATCACTTTACCGCTCACTATGCGGTAAAGTGCACTTTACCGCATAGTGTGCGGTAAAGTTAACTTTACAGCATAGTATGCGGTAAAGTGGACTACAAAGTGTGCGGTAAAGTGCACTTTACCGCATAGTGTGCGGTAAAGTAAAATTTAATATTTTTAATCAGAAATCCTCTCTTTTTCAGAAAATGGATTTTTGATCATTTCTATATCTAATCTAATTTCATTAATTAATCTGATTCAATAATTAATTTTATCAATGCCTTTTTTCAGAGATGTAGATGCTCATAGGTAAAATTTTGTACCTAACACATGCGGAAAGTGCCTTAACCGCCCTTAACGGCTTGACGGAAAAATCGTATATGCGTGCGGAAACTGAGTTTTCCCGCACGGTGCGGTAAAACTTTTTTTTTTTGACATATCAGTGCGAAAAAAGTTTTTCCGCACGGCTGTCAGTGCGGAAAAAATTTTACCGCACTGATATGTCAAAAAAAAAAGAAAAATTTTACATTTTTTCGCCTGTAGAAAAAATATTGTACCTAACACTTGCGGAAAATATTTTTCCGCACTTGTTAGGTAAATAGCTATTACAAGTCAGTAGGGTCAGTAGAATTATTTATTAAAATTGTATTACTTATTATATTAGTTATTGTAAGGCTGAAGGACCTTGGTCGATGGCCTTTTGAACTGACACTTCAGTAGTGGGATTCTCAATCGTCAAGTCGACACGTAACGTCGTGACTCCTTGTAGAAAGTCAATGGGAAGTCGGAGTCGATAGGTTGCGACTAAAAGTTGAGAATCGGGGGGCAGAGTTGTGAAAACGTAGTGAGTGATACTGAAAGAGCCATAGACACTAAAGTGAAAATTTTTTGGAACTTCATACACTTCCAATCTAATCAGGTTACTATTCCTGCTGAGGAAATGTTTTTGGCCACAGAAAAGGTGTTCTACAGTGTTGATATAGCAAATCTTTTGGTGTTTATTTTTTCTCCTTCGGAGAAATTTCAACGCAAGAATTTTTGGCAAACAGATGTTTTAAGCATTGTCATATGAGAAGGCTTTAACGCAAGTGGACATTAAAAAGTTTGCAGGACCTGATGGTATTTCTAACAGAGTACTAAAATCATGTTCTTACACATTATATCTACCTCTATTTAATATTTTTAACAAATCCTTAACTTCTAGAATTTTTCCAGAAATGTAGAAGCTCTCTTATGTTTGCTTTATTAACAAGTCACGCAGAAAGAATGATGTAACAAATTACAGATCTATTAGCATCCTGTTTCCAATTCTTTAACTATTTGAGCAGTGCGTTGGAAATATTCTCCCAAAAATATTCCATCAGATAATGATCAGTCAACAGTAACCAAAGCTCGTACATACCTGGTATCAGTTTCCTCACTACCACCCAAATCTGGCTTATCGTATGGCGAACACCACAAGACATGATTGGCCTTGACTAGATGTCGGGCGTAAAACAAGTCGGCCCCAAACAAAGCCGTGTCCTCTGGTAAATTGCCGACAGGAATATGAAAATATCGACTTTGTTCGATCATAACGTCCAGAGAGGATTCGCTGTTTAGATAGTGACGGACCAGAGCTTTTGCTCCAATTTTTTGCCAGTCTATTACGTTGTACAGATCAGGATTATCCTAAAAATAACAAATTAGATTTTTTTACAGGAAATTTGTGTGTTCATATTTACCCTGACGAATATTTGCGCTTGAGGGAATTCTCCAAAAGTATTAATGCTAGTTTGCAACAATTGCACGTCCATGGTGCTCTGTATGGCCAATAAAGTGGGCCCTTTTTTTTCGTCTTTGTAGGTTTGCAAGTATTTACTGAGCAATTTGTATACTTGATTCATGTCAGTTTCTACACGTATTTCGAAATCAATTTCTGAAGGTGGTAAGAGACGTTCGGCAGTTATTTCTTTTCTAGAGAAAATAAATAAAATGAAATCAGAATAAAAATTGTCTATTTTTGTATTTTCAAAATCTGGTCTAATGAGTAAGTTTTTTTTACTTACTTATTGGTCCATTCTGAAAGATACAAGTTCCCCATATTCGGCATCAAATTAGTCCGAACCGTATCCACGACAATCACCAAACATTTTTTTAATGGAGTCAAAAATAGTCCAAACATTTGTTGAGGTTTCGACGAGTGTCTGTGGTGATAAAAAAATATATGTTTCAAAGAATCCTGTTCTAAGTAAGGTTGCTTATTAAGAGACACCGAGTCTAATTCCTCAAGGGTAAACGTGTCCAGACTGGTAACTCCCCTTGAAACTTTAACCACGCAACTTATTGAAATTAGAGCTCTGAAAAGTAGAGACATTTTTGTTTCGTAGACTCCTTCCACTGCTGGATCGGATAGAGCATTTTGTACGTGCCTAAAAACAAGTTTATTTATTACAAATTTGTTATTTAGTGGAAACTTACTCTTTATCTTCTAAATACATTTCCTCAGTTATCGTGTACATGTACAAGTTATAAACTCGTCTACCTCTCGGCAAAGTTCTATTACATTTCTTAAAAATAGCCCCCTCTTCGACTACTTTTGGTGTTTTAATGTTGGCATAGTAGATGCGAGGCACGTGCAATTTCACCAAATGCAATTCTGTGTCGACCTAAAAATGTTTGTTAATACTAAATAGCCTGAAAATTATTAATTTGATATTTACCAAGGCCCATAATTTAAAAACTCCTGGTGTTCTAGTTGGGGTTATTTGCACTACTTGCCAGGGAGTTGTCAGGAGGGTGTTCTGGGTTTTTTGCAGAAACGTGCCTAGGGTACCTGGTGCGGAGGATCTATACAATATATTTTATATTACTAGGTGAATATTGAACAAAATCCTTAAAAAATATTAATTTGATTAAAAAAATGTACTTATTAAAAAAACAATACTCTTGAAATTTTTAGTTTTAACAACAACATTTTTAGTAACTAGATTTTGCAATTTAGGTAAAAAAAAAAAAACAAGGTCATTGAAAGGTGATCTATTATAAATGTTACCCCCTCCTAACTTTTTCATTTTACATTTTTGACACAAGTGTCAATTACAAAAGTTTAAGGAAGTCAACTTAAGTCAGTTTTAAGCATACAGGGTGCGTAGCAGTCTAGCAAGTCTTCCATTTAAAAAAATACAACTTTGCTCTGCTAAACTTTTTTGATGGGTTATAACTACCTATTATTATCATTCTGATTTTGCCTGTAATTTACCTGAGTACTGCCAAACTTCCTTTAGTCTTCTTCTTTTTACTAGCACTTCGACCAATATTCTTTTGGGAAGCCTGAAATTTCCATTTCCTTTTTTGAAACCGAATCCACACTATATGACTTTCTCTTGTTCTGCCCCAAGCTGGTGGATTTCCCAAAACCTCCCTCCAAGTTTTATCCAATTCCTCTTCGGTGAATTCGTTTTCTCTATCCGAACCTCGCTTTCTTTTATTAACACTGGCTACTGGTCTTTTGAAAGTGGGAGATTTTTCGCTCATGTCTTCAATATCTTCAACTCGTGGACTATCATTTACGACTGGTTTGGCACATTTCGAAAACATATCGGTGATTCTTCTTTGCTTATAAGTGTCGTTTTTTTCTAGAATTTTTTTGTGCAACCACACTGGATGTGGCACTCTAGGCACAGGATTGGCCACCTAAAAATTAGATTATTATTTAGTGAAAAAATTATATTTTCAGTGCTTGTTTCTTCTTGATTATAAACAAAAAAAATGTTAAGATAAATAGAAATAACCCAAGATAAATAAAATATTCTTACTCCTTGCATAGCAGCAGGTATAGTGATAATTTTTTGGATAGTTCCGCCTAGACGCTCGATGTAATAATTCCAATCCAACAAGTCCCTAATGTCTATTTCGGTAATGGAGGAATCTTTGAGCCACTTTCTTAAATAATGTCTTTGGATTGCTTCTTCGGCTTGGAAAATTGCTAAAGGTATTGCCCTGAAAGAAATAACTTAGTTACAGTACCTATTTGTTTTCTGCTATGGAAATAAAATTGCTTGAAAAAAATACTTTAAATTACCTTTCCGTTACTGGCGCACCATCAGGTTTCCTCGAAATAACATATTTGCAAGCCAATCCGGCATCTTTGACCATTTGATCGCCTAAAAATTCGGCCAAACGACGCGCCGTACTAATCGAAGTGCTCTTTTGCGTCCCATATTCTTCTAATTTTTTGGACATTGAACGGTTTTCGGCAATCAGATCAAACAGTTCCGAATCGGGCATGTTTTTTCCGTGAGAAAAAAGGACGTCCAGCCAATAATCGGCCACTTGGGCTACGGCGGCGTAACAAGTTTCCAATGTGTCGCCCATCAAAAACGAGTCGAAAACAGACGATTGGAAATTTTTGATTAGTTGAAGCTCTCCACGACGTTTTACTTCAAATCTAAAAGGAAATTGGAAAATACTCAAAACAACTGATTGCAAAACATTCTTACCCTTTCAATTCAGCCAAAGACCCATCAAAATTAAATACAGCATATCGTTTTTTTAGTTTTTTTCCTTCTTCTTTACTAGCCGGCAACACCATTGCCTTATAAGGACCATCAACTTCAAAAAATATAGAATTCTCTTTTCTTATAGTGTATTCCAATTTTTCTGCATCCACCAACTGGTGATATTGATCGTTGGTAAAATGATCTTTAACCATGGCATTCAAAATCGTATTAGGATAAGAAACTACAATTTTTTTCTTTTTTTCATGATTAGTTAAAACCGTTACATTTTCCGGAAACGACGCTGGTAAAATGCACCAAATACCATCTGTGTCTAACTCCAAAGGTCTTCCTACTTGTTCAATAATTTCTCTGGCTTTCATAATAATATTCGCTCCAGTGAAGCAAACGATTCCAGCCATTTCCATACTGTACCATCGGGCTCCTTTTCTCATAACGTAACCGTAAAACGAATTCAAAATACATTTGTGAGCCAATTGTAGAGAATCGTAGACCACTTCTTCGCTTTTTGCTGACTTTATTTTGGTGGCGTCGCCTCCTTTTATTGCCTCCGCTACTTTTTGTTTGGCTTTTTTCGTGTCAGCTTTCAACTCGTATCTGTGACAACAAGAAAATACAGTTATAAAAATGATGTGAAATATAATTGAAGAAATTCTCACCGTCTATCCCTAAAAGCTCTCACAGTATCAACATAAAACGAATTTTCCTTCTGACATATTGTAGTCGTTTTTTCGCCCATTCTGGTAATCTTGAGCTTTTTGTAGACTTTTCTACAGTAGGCCTCCAATCGTTGTTTTTCTATAGCTGCTTGCTCTACCCTGGGTAACTGATGGAACGACTTTTGCGGGCCTCCCTGTGCGGGACGGAATTTTTCCGATTCGAGCTGTTGTTGGATACGTTCGAATTCGCCCCGTTTTGCTGGCACTAAAAAACAACCGGAAATTAATTAAAATATTCATAAAATCAGCTTATCTTTATACAGTATTCTTCTCGCATCATCCAAGCCATATTCCTTTGGCAAGTCGCGTTGAGACAGTTGTAATCGCAAGCTGCGCATGTGGTCTCGTCAACCATCGCGCATGGTTGCAGCCGATTGGTGAGGATGATGTTGGGGTACATGGCGCCAACGTCCAAGTGATAAATGAGGGGTTTTTCAAGGCGAAGTGGTTGCTCCTAAAAATTTTAAACTTTAATAATTACGATTTCTTGTTTTATTTATTTTTAAGAATGAAAACATTTCAGTTCCAAAATCTACTCTATGTCAGATGCCAGAAATGAGAGAGATTTCAATGTTGGCTCTAAATATAGGATTTTCATGACTCTTTTTTTTTCAAATTTCAGCTCTAGGTGTGTCAGTTATTATTGTCCGAATAATGTACAATTCTCTCTGAAAAAGCAGATTATTACCATTACTAAATATTGCTGTTAGGTTTCAAGATTTGGTTAATGACATTTATATAAATAATTCAAGACAACAATAAAATAACAAACACACTGTAGCAGAAAACGAAAAATTCAATATAAATCACACATCTATGTAGGTACAAGTGAAGTAGGTAACAGTCAAGTTGATAGTAAAATGCAGAAACCCTTCGATTCTATTGCCCTTTTCTGGCCTGAGAATCTCGACCACCCTTCATGAACTTTTCAACATCTTTTAGCAGATTATCCCAGTAATAAGGATCTTTGATCTTGTTTATCGTCTTTGTTATACGTAAGTGTCCACTCAAAGATTCTGAATGGCGACTGTAGAGGATTTCTGCTAGAGTCCTTGAAATTACTAATAGCAGCTCTTTACCAGTATTATTGAGGTTAATTTTGTACAATACATTATCTTTCAATCTAAAATTTTTTGCTCTTCTTCTAAGGCTAATTGAAGCATCTTCTGGATTCCTGAAAGCGTCAATTAGTTTAGCAATTTTTTTGTCTTCTGATTGTAATTTTCCTATTTCCTGTGACTCTACTAGAAATGTTGAGATATCGCTGATATCAGTATCTTCAGGCTCCAACACTGGGTGCCTGCTATAACAGTCAGCATCCTTATGAGCAAACCCACTTTTGTGTACTATGGTGTAATGAAACTCGGGTAATTTAATTGACCATCTACCTAACCTTCCAGTAGGGTCTTTAAAAGACTTAAACCAACATAAGGCATGATGATCAGTTACCATTCGCACTGGTTTCACATAAATAAGGTGTCGTAGATATTTTAGCGCCCATATAGCTCCTAATCCCTGTATTTCTGTAAATGTGTAATTCTTTTCTGATTTTGACATGCTTCTGCTGGTGTTTGCGATGGGGTGGAAATGGCCATTGAGCCCTTCTTGTAAAAGAACTGCTCCAATACCAATCATACTCCCATCTACTCTTAGTTCGCATCCCTTTTGTGGGCTATAGTGCGCTGGCACTTTAAATAATTTTTCTTTAAGTGTCTGAAAAGCTTCTTCTTGTTCTTGTCTCCACGAGAATTCAGCATACTTTTTCGTAGCTTTATACAGAAGGTGTGCTATATGGCTAAAATTTTTATAAATTTCCTATAATTGAATAACCCAATAAAACTCTGTATATCTTTCACAAATTTTGGCTTTGGAAATTCCCTTATGGCAACGAGTTTACTCTCATCAGGCAGAATTCCATCTTCTGAAATCGAATATCCTAGGATGTTAATTTTTCCCTTAAGATATTCACATTTTTTAGGTTTAAGAGTTAATTTGGCGTCTCGTAGCCTATCGAAAATTGTTTTCACATTTTTGAGATGTTCATCTGCTATTTCAGAGAACACGATGATGTCATCAATATAAATCGACACTTCTTTCCATTTTAGTGCCTCAAAAACCTTGTCCGCCAATTGCTGAAAAGTTGCTGGCGCGTTACACAAGTCAAAACTCATATAATTGAATTCTCAGAGTCCATGACCCTGCACTTGGAAAGCATCAGTAAGGTTAAAAGTCTTTATTTATTTGTACTTGCCAAAAACTAGAGAACATGTCGAGTGATAAAAAGTATTTGACCTTTCCCAAATATGTCAGAATGTCGTCAATGATGGGAATATTGTAAGCTAATTTTCTCGTGACTTTATTCAAGCGTCTATAGCCTACTACGCCAGATTTCTTTTTAACTAACACAACAGGACTTGCCCAAGGTGAATGGCTGAGTCTGATCACTCCATATCTTGACATTTCTGCTATTTGTTGGTCTATAAGTCTCTTTCTTTTTTGACATTCTGTAGGAGGCTTTGCTTTTTATTGGTTGTGCGTTCCCAACATCAATTTTATGTTCGAGCCCATGTATTTTGGCGTTTTTGAGAACATATCCGAATATTCGAGTAAGAGGTTGGTAAGCTTGTTTTTTATTGGGTCTTTCAGGTGGTCAATTTTATGGTCACTAATGGTGACAATTTCTTCGTCTTCCTTATCGTCCATGGGAGGTCCATTGTTCGCAGGGAACCATCCTCCTCTAGATAGTTGTTCCCTTGAAAATCTTCACCTTTTGATGACCCTTTGTCACTAATTCAATAAAAGGCACTTCGTCAATAAACTGGATTCGTTCGGTTAAGATTATACCTCTTGGCCTCAAAAATTTTTCATTTTCTTTCAGACTTATTTGCTGCCAGATTCATAATTCTTTCGGAAAATTATGGTTGCATTTTATTTTAGTTTCAATATTGGGATCTCCTTGTCCAAACTGGTATATATTATCTGTCCCTTTCAATAACCTATACGCATTGAAAAATGTTTACTGTGCAGTAGTCAGATCTGTCACTGAATATGCTTGTCCTGTATGGTCTCCCTATTATAAAAAATGGATCGATGAAATTGAGAGAATCCAAAAAAAGTTTTTGCGTCATGTAGGATATCGACTGAATATTCCAAGAGATGAACTTCAATATAGTGAATATTGGTTCAGAGAGCCTTGTTATTGCCTAAAATGTTCGAGGACTTAATTCAAAGATTGACACTTTCTATTCTTCTGTTAGCGATAGTGAGTTTGATGTGGTAGCATTATCTGAAACCTGGCTTAGTTCTAATGTGAAAAATAGTGAGCTATTTAATGATGATTATCAAGTATTTAGGAAGGATCGAGATCTTGCTGCAACTGGCCGTGAGAGTGGGGGTGGTGTTTTACTAGCTATAAAAAATACTGTGAAAAGTGAGGCCTTTCAAATGCCATTTTTAAAGCAGAACTTCCCAGAAATTGACTTTATTATGAACCAATGTGTGATATCCCATAGAGTATTGTTTGTTTTAGTTATTTATATTCCGCCATCCTTACCTATAGAAACTGTTGAATTATTTTTTGAATCATTAGAACAATTTGAGCAATTATTTAATAAAAATATCTTGGCTTTGGGAGATTTTAATAATCCAGGTTTTGTTGATTTTGACCAGAATGATAGATACTTCACTAGTATTAACAATTTTATGAATTTTTTTGAACTTAAGCAGTACAACAGTGTGCGTAATTGCTCAGATCGTTTGTTAGATCTTGTTGTGACAAATTTAGATTGTAGCGTTGTTCACAATGCCAGTCCCTTTGTCAAGGAGGACAAATACCACCCTGCTTTGTTCATTTCCACTCAAAGTTTTGCTTGCAAAAGGCACGACCAATTTCTTCCTAATTTAAAGAACAAAGCTTTTAATTTTAAAAGGGCAGACTTTCCATCCCTATACAACTCTCTTATAAATACTGATTGGGGTTTCTTGCGGGAAAATAATGTTGTAAATAACGCTGTTAAATGTTTTTATGATAAATTATACTCTTTGGTGGAGAGTCATGTCCCGCAATATAAACAATATAAACGTTCCTTTCCAGCCTGGTATAACTCTAGAATAATAAAGAATATAAAACTTAAAGAAAGAGCATTGAGCAAACATAGAAAAACTGGCATTGTGGACTTTTTATTGAATATAAAAGGTTGAGAAAATTAACTAAGCAACATATCAAAGCCGCATTTAAAGCATACATTTCCATTGTACAGCAAAGTGTTCATAGTGATCCTCGATACTTTTGGTCTTACTTTCATAGTAACAACAGAAGCTCTAGAATCCCAAATACAATGGCATTCGAGGAGCAAACTTACATAGATTCCCAAGAAATAGTAAATGTTTTTGGTAGGTTTTTTGAAAGTGTATTTTTGCCATCCTCAGTGCCTAGTGATAACCTTTCCCAGCCTAGTTTATGTAGTACAGTTCATATCAACGACGTAACGGATGATGAGATAATGAAAGCATCTAAAAAGCTCAAAAATAAAATGACGTCTGGTCCAGATATTATACCTGCTTTTCTAGTTAAGGACTGCATAGGTGTGCTGGTAACCCCTTTAAGAATCCTCTTTAACTTGATGCTGCATTCCCATACATACCCAGATCTGTGGAAGGAGGCAAAAGTCATCCCAGTATTTAAGTCTGGTGAGCGCTCACAGGTGGCGAATTATCGCCCGATATCCATCCTGTGCAATTTCTCCAAAATTTTTGAAACCATTTTGTATGAACGTGTATACGCATCAGTCTGTCGCCAAATTTCACCTTTTCAACATGGCTTTATGAACCAAAGATCAACCATAACAAATCTAATGCATATATCACAGGATATATCAGAAATTCTGGATAAGGGGGGTCAGGTTGATGTGATATATACGGATTTCTCCAAGGCTTTGGACAGATTGGATCATGGGTTATTAATTACGAAGTTGCATAGATTCGGATTTTCTGATGGTCTCCTAGCACTTTTTGCATCATATCTAAGTAATCGGCAACAATTTGTTTTTTACAGTGGATTTAAGTCTACGAAATATACGGCAACCTCAGGAGTACCTCAAGGGTCCAATCTAGGTCCTCTCCTTTTTCTTTTATTTGTTAACGATCTAGCTGATGAACTTACCTCTGGAAAATTATTATTTGCAGATGATCTCAAGATTTTTTCTCCAATTGACAGTCTGAGTGATTGTGAAAATCTGCAGACTAATTTAACTACTGTTCAAAGATGGTGTGCTGAAAATAGTTTAAATTTGAATGTGTCTAAATGCAAATGTATTACATTTACCCGTAAACTGACTTATATAACTTTCGCATATGCAATAAACCAAACAGCACTGTTACGATGTTTCTCTGTCACAGATCTGGGTATAGTGTTTGATTATGAATTTACTTTTGTTGAGCATATTAAAACTAAAG